ATATTTTTAGATCATCTAGGTTTTGGACTATGTATAACTATATATTTGGACTATTGAATATATTAATAATATTTAGTCCAAACTTTTGAACAGTAATATATTCCTGCTCACCTGTTTCCAGATATCTTCAGTGGAATGCTGGAAAGTGTTGAGAGTAACCGCTGTATTTGTGTTGTAGCCTCAGGTCCTGCCACGCCAGACTCTGTGGAGAGCATCGTGCAGCACCTGTCTCCTGAATCCAGCCGTAAAGCGTACTGGAGGACATGGGACGGCCAGTCCACTCAACACCCCTCCTCCTCCGTCTTCACTGATGCCACATCAAGCCACGCACACATCAAATCACCTGCCACCGTACGTTCCCGCAGCGTGTCCGATTCCTCAGCACCGCGCAGAGGTACAAATATACATGCTGCTGGAGCTCTATTATTGATGTGCTGCTCTGGTTTTCTTCCAAAATTACGTATTAAATCAATGATGTTTGTCTGTGTGTTTCTACAGACTCTGTTACCAAGACCTCCACCCCGTCGTTCCGGAACGGAAAAGCAGCAGCACAGCAGGGTTCGCCATGGGAGACGCTGGTGGTGTTCGCCATAAACCTTAAACAGCTTAATGTCCAGATGAACATGAGCAACGTCATGGGCAACAATACGTATGAGAGACCTATTGAAAACTATTTGATGTGTACAGTTGTTGACGCGCTTCATATCTCTCTGTCTGATGTCTGTTTATGCATGTGTGTGTTTGAACAGTTGGACGACGAGTGGGTTGAAGAGTCAGGGCCGTCTGTCAGTGGGCAGTAACAGAGATCGTGAGATCAGCATGTCTATTGGGCTGGGCCGCTCCAAACTTGATTCCAAAGGAGGAGTGGTGGGTGGCAACATTGACGTCAACACACTCGAGATGGTCTGTAAGTATACTTTTATTTATTTTTGTGTGAGAGAAAGTGTTCCCTCTAAATCAGATTTTTTTTCTTCTTTATGAATACATAATTTCTCTAATTATTAGACATAAGTATAATAATGTTAAAGTGTTACTACAATGGCTATCAAAACAGACTTTAATTTTGCCATTCACCACCACAAAATATTCCCCTAATTTTGAGATCCACCTAGTTTTGAGATAACTTTATAAAAGTACATATTGATATTAACTGAATCTATTGATTTTATATATTTAGCAAATTATGCTCTTTTAAATGGTGTTTCCCCTTGGT